CCAGAAATCCATTTTCATCTCTATCAAGACAAGAATGCAATTTTCACTTCATTTAACTGATGTTAGGCCTGCTCAAAGCATGACACTTAGAAAAAGACACAAGTTTAAGGTTCTTAAAATACTTCAAGTAACTAGAATGCAGCTTGGTTTCAGGGGGAAAAAAAATCAACATCACTCAAATCTACAAACAACCTAATATTCTAAAAAATTACTTATCAGAACCTTCAGAAGTAGTTTTCATTTTGAAATGACTGCTGCATTTTTCATGTTTTTAATAGTAAGTTATGTTTATATATTATAGATTTTGTTCCAAGGTTTCAAAAGATGTTTAAGAAGTTTGTTAAAAATTGAAATATTTTGAGTACTTCCCCAGAAAGGCTAAATCAAGAAAGCAGCTCAATTTTTAAAATATATATATAGAAAACAAAATAGAAACATTATTCCTTCTGTAATGTTAGGACCAATACATGATTTTGATTGGCAGAGGATCTGAAAAGACAAACTTTCAACACTTGTTTTATGGGAAATTAAAATCCTAACATTCCTTTAAAAATACTTTTTGCAATAAACAAATTCTGTTAGCACTAAATGTAATTCAAGCATATTTTGAGCTGAATCAATTCTGAATAGAATCATATCATTACTATTATTATTGTTTCTTGATATATAATTATCAAACTTATTCAAAGTGTGGGTAAAGTGAGCCAATATTAATGTACACAATTTTTTTAAATAAAATCTAAGTGCTTTGGCACAGCTTTTATTAATACACTTAGTTTAACATATTAATAAAATATATTTCAAGCTTAAACTGAAAAACCAATATATACTAAAGTTAGATGGTTACTTCCTCATTTAATAATATGCCCACAAAATAAATCTACAATATGCTTCCAATTTAAAAAGTAAAATCTAATTTTAAAATATAAATTCAGTATCATAGATTCTAAACATGATATATCCAATATGGAACTTAGAGTATATAATAGAATTCAAAAAGTTACCTTGGTTAAATTCATAAACAAAAAGAACCACATATACACACATTTTTTAAATCTTTCAGGCCAAAAATTATATAGTACTCAACAAAGTTTACTAAGTAATGATTTATTATAAATAGTTGAAGTACACATTTCCAGATTAAAATTACAGAAACAAAATGTTTCCCTGTAGCTTCAGACATAAACAGAAATTGCCAGCGTTTTTCAATACACTGATGGAGTTTAAAAAATCCCCCAACAATTTAAGAAATATTTGAGAATATTTTTTGTTTATTTATTTTGTTTTAAGTAATCAAACCTGCTAAAATTTAATCTCAACTTGATCATTTCTTTTCAAGGTGCTACAAATTAGGAGTAGATTAAAAATTACATCAAATTTCTTAAATCCACAATCAATGCCTTTTTTTATGTCTTAAGTAACACAGGAACTAAGACTCTCTTCATAATTAATATGGTGCTTATCAAAATACCATCGATACTAATTTTCTATGTTTCTCTCTGAACTTCAGAAATGACTATGCAATCTATAACTACTGTTAAACCATACTGTCAACAGCTTTAAATTATTAAAATTGAAAGTTTTTGAGCTCTTTCGAAAACTGTATTTAAAGAAAACAGTGCTATATATACACTCACTATGTTAAAGTCTCCAGGAATTTTGTTGGTTGGGGAAAAAAAATCAAAGGAGTATTTAAATTGGAAAGACATTTCCAGAAATGAATGTTTTCCAAAAATCACATTTGTACTTAACACTGCCCATCAGCCATTCCGAATCATTATTTGTATAGCTGCCTGGCACGGTTCCATGGACTTTCATGCATCTCTACAGTGTTTCTGAACAGAGTGACATATTTTGTTTACTGACAGCAACTAAAAGCTCTATGTAAGATCATAAATAAAGAAGATCATGTTTAAAAATCACTAATATCATTTTAAAAGGTAGTGCAGCCTTGTGTTTTGGCCTCTGTTTAGCTGTGTTAGGCCTATGAATGACAGCTTCCCTGCTTGAAGCACACAGAAAGCACAGCCTTCCTCATTCACTGACAGGACTGTGGCCTTTTCACACGTTCCTTCCACAGCAGTGTTTGTCCCCAAACACTAGAACTCGACACAATGGCATTCCTACTTCAACACCCCCACCAACAGCACCACTACATAACAAGAATGCTAATGAGATGGAACAGGCACTGTCGCTGAAAGTGTTAACTACATTTCATAGGAACGCGTTTATGCTATTTCAAAGATTACCAATTAAATAGATTCTGCTTAGCTCTGAGCAATTTCTAAGATGTTTCCACTTTTAAGGAAATAAATGTGATAAATGTAAGACTAAGTGACTTTATGCTGTCCTAAATATAATATCTCATTTTAATACATACGAATCAGTGTATATTTAAGACCACCCTAATGTAGTGTGCTTAATTCAGTTGCATGCATAATAGCCATGCTAAAGTTAAAAAATGAAAAATGAGTAAGTTTGTAAACATAAAACCATTAGCCCTGATTTTTCTTTTAAAGCTGTATTGTCACAATTTATTCAAAAGAAATTTCCTTTAGAAATGACAAAATTAGAAGCCTATAATCTTTCAACTGACAGCAAAACAGTATGGTTGTTTTTATATGTGATATCAAAAGTGAAATAAATGGAAATGATATCAAGAGTTAATATAATCCTATAAGATATAAACTTAAATTTGTTAAAGAAATAGGAATCATGATCCACATCCATTTCACCTATCTAAAGATTCCTTAACACAATCTTATATAAAATTAAATAGAAAAATCGATCCCAAAGGTCAAATGAAGTAGATATAATTCAAATAAAGCTCATTAATGTTTAAGAGGGATATTTGCTATGAAATCTTACTGACAAATAAAGATATTGCCAGGTTTAACAACATAACCACTGATGGCCTGATAACAGTACTACTAAGTGACTTCTCTAAACATTGCAAATAATTTTAAATTAAGTCATAGTATGACAATACAAAAGAAATGAAACTAAAGAATACATATAATTGAGCATGTCTAAAGAAATAGAAATACATAATGGAAAAATTTCTATTTCTTTTCCTCATTTTTATATTTTAAAATAAAATATTAAAAAGTATCACATTAAAACTTTTGAGTGCAAAGTTTTAAATTATTACAACTTTGTAAAAGGAAAAAAGGTTTAATTAGGAATGGCGAAGAGCCTATGTTTTTAAATATTTTAAAATTTTGCATACTGTTGAAACTCTTACAGATTGGTCAAATAGGCAATTTTGGAGGCAATAAAAATGTTAAATTTTGTTCATATTTATATCTAATATTTAATAAAATGTATTTTTCATCAATTTTGAGTCATAAAGAAATTTTTGAATCAAAGCACTAAGTAATTCTGACAGTATATTTTTTCACAATGCACAAAACTCTTTTAAATCTGGTTACAGCTCTTTATACCATTTAAATTTTAAATGTGTAAGACAGTGAAAGAAAAACATGCCATTACTTTCTGAGATGTTTCTTAACTCTAACACCCTTACTTCTAATAAAACTTATAAAATGTTTAATTTTGTCTTTAGATTTAATTTAAGCAGTGATTTTCTTGCATTGGATAATGGTCTCATATTTTCTTTATCATTAAATAATTTTAAACTCTCCAATAAGTAGAATCAAATCATATAATGCCAAATAAATTATTATAATTCAATTCTTCATGTCCCACTTTATATCATTATATCTTAAAATTAAATACTTCAGTTAAAATAATTTAATCTAAACACAATTAAAAATTTCATACTAGTTTTTATATATGGTAGCTTAATAAAGAATGTTAAAATAAGTTTGAATTTTTTTCATATTATTATGAATTATTATCTATGATAATTATTAATCCTGCTTCTGGGTCCACTAAAATCAATTAATTAGGCAAACCAAACACATTTTACAAATAAAAGTTTCTCATGGGATTATGTTTTTTGCTAGTTCTAGATACCTTAATACATTTTTTTAGTCAATATAAGTTGCTGTTTTGTGAACCAGACAGCAGGAGGTGCTGTGTGAACGCTAAGACCAACATCCCATTCCCACCACTGCTTTCTCTCTGCACACAGAGAGTAATGGCATGATGCTTTCAAAGTATTCATTTTTCAGCAGCCTGCGGCCTGAGATAATAAACCCAATTCTAAACTGAACCTCTCAGTTCAAAATGTAAAACCTAGTCCTTATTTCACATGGCAAAAATGTATACTTCACTTCTTAAAAACCAAGTGCAAAGAGGATTTTTAAAATGTGGCAACTTCATTTTAATTTTATAAATGGCATCAATTATTCTGCTTTACAACGTGAATCCTACTTTAAGGTAAATTGAAAGTCCCTATGCATAGTTATAAAAATCAAAGTCTTTACACACATACACATAATTATGAAATGGATACATAGATATTAAAGGATAAAATCTAGTTTAACTTGATTCAAATATATTAATTTTATTTTTACACTTTTGGTTCCTGAAACATATAAGTTAAATAAGTATAAATGAATTAAGTTACTTTTGGCATGAAGTTAATTCACAATTTCATTTCTCAGAATGTGATTTGTTATCTTTTAGCCCAACTTCTACACAACAATCTGATTTTACACTATTTTATCTACTAAATATAGAAGGGTGAACATTTAAACCTTCAAATGACTTAGGAATGATTCTTTGTTGTATTTTTAAAGTAACTGTCCACAGAATTTCCACATAAGAAGTTGCCTTTGCTTGCAGAGTACACAGCAAGAAAAGATGAGACATATGACATCCTATACCAAAGGATAGATACAATTAGCCCCATTATTTTTGGCTTTAAAATTAGAGAAGAAGCATGTTTGGCTCCCTAATGAGTGCTCACAGAATACATGTCACAAGTTTTTTGTTTGTTTTTTTAAATGATACAATGCCAATCATTGCCCCTATACAACCAAGTACATTTTTAAAACATTTAATAAAGCAGTTTTTAAAGAGGGATGACTCACCTGTTTATAATATTTTTTTGCAGACTTTAATCGTTGGTACAGGGCCAAAAGAACTCCTTGGATGTACATCTTAGCTCCTGAGGGGCTGAAACCTTCTCCCTTAGAGACCCAAAGTGGTCCCCGCAAAGGTGTGATGGAATTTTGCAGGCATTTTTCAAGCAGAGGAACTATGCAAGAAAACAAGGGAAAAAATTCTTTTGACCCGACAGAAATACACTGCCTGGAACACAGCCCCAATACCAGAGCTAACTCTTAACATCTATTATTTATATCTGACCTGGGTTAAGTCTTAGAGAGGCAATTCCTGCATTACTAGTGGCCACCATGAAGGATGTATTTATATTGAGACACCCCCCATGCAAGACTCATAAGCTTTGTGAGCACACCTGAATAGTTCTGAAGTGTGCCTAACTAGCTGCACAGAGTGTCATGGTGTGCACTGATTGCCTTATCTTCTCATTTATCACAGATGAGTTGGAACCAACCTTGCTGAAATCTACTTGCATTGTCCTGATAAAATTGTAAGATCCATGTTGTTTCAGTATATAGCTTCCTGTAGAGGAGTCTATATACCTGAAACATCACATCTGGAAATTATTCATGAAATATAATCCACACTTTCATAAGTCATCCTATTTGAGCCTTTTCATTGCCATTCCTTAAGTAACCCATAAAACAGGGTGGCAAGACTGTTTAAAAATAAGGGGGAGAATCTTAAACCAGCATTTTATCATACCTTTTTTTTTAAGTTTCTGGAATATAAACTAGTCCAGGATTTAAAATGCTATTCCAGCACGTGTTTTGTAAACAGATAAAAGATATTTACTTGTGGGCCTGTATTGCAACATCCATATGGACTTGACAGACATGTTTATATGCTTTTTCACACGATTAGCTCATAAAATCTTTCTAGTGTAAAATAGTCCAATAACATGGCAGCTAGGGAAAAATTTTCAAGATTAAATTTTCCTTTGAAAAGCCAGAAATAAAGAAATAATAAAATCTTAGGTACTCTTGGGAACCTAGAAATATGAAAGGGAATTTTTTACTTGATCATGATTTAACATGTATACATGTGACACAAACATAAACATATGAAATAGCTATATGTCTTCGCTACCTTATCATGGTACATATTTCTACTACAAAAAAGAATTAAGTAGATCACCAGAAAAGAAAAGAGTCCTTGCCATTGGTTATGTTATATGTTGCATATTTTATGCAGAGATGCCTAGCATAGCAATCTGGAAATTGAATTACAATTAGGTTCAGCTGAGCTGCTGAGAGGCTGAGTTATGCAAATGGCCTTTGCTACTGGTATTCTGCTAAATTCTGCTTGTAGTAAAAAAGTTATACATTTTATGGCACTAAGTTCCACAACTCTCTACCAAAGCACAATTTAAAGTCTGTCTAATATACTCAACATTAAGGAGAATGCTGAAAATAGAGTTTAAGATTTTCTACTACTACAGTATAAATAAAGTTTAAAGGAAATTACAACTCAATGACTATTTACTTGTCAGATGTGTGCATAAAATTCATCCATCTAGCTTGAGAAACTAATTCCTGAAGTTCACCTATCAATCTCATTTTTATACTCTCTTAGAGCAACTACTTTTTGGTATAAGTTTTATCATTACAAATGCCTCAAACTTTAAAAAAAAACATAGGAATAGATATAAAAGATAAAAACTAAATGAGAAAGCAACTTATTTTCAGAATTATAACTCTTAAATCTTTAAAAAAATGTATAATATAAATCAATCTTGATTATAATTTTTTCTAAGGAAAGCCAGCTTGAAAATCAGCAGCACTTTGCTTATTGCTACAACATCCATCTATTACTATGTATTAGATTTTAATTTATACACCTTTAATTGGTACACACATTGAACCTAGTATACTTTTTGAGCATTGAAAGGCACGACATAAAGAGGTGTTAAATTGAAATAAAGTTAAAAAAACTGAGAAGTAGGTGATAAATTTGAATGACTTACATCCTGGAGTCAATCTTGAATTTAAACCTGAGAAAATTTTATCATATTCTCCAGTTTTATTCATTTATGCTTGTCACAAAATAACTTTCAGATTCTTTATGTCAGCCCAACGGATTCCAAAAAAGCATTTACTAGATCTTCTAACAAAACTCTTTTATCAGAGTTTGTACTCTCCATAAGAATTTAAGAAAAAAAGCCAGCTTAGAAAAAAAATTGAAATTATACCACAATGTAAGCAGTGTCAGAATTGATATTGGATGGAAAACAGCTCCCAGTTCCACATGACTTATATAATTAGGAATACTATGGAAACCAGAAACAGCAAAGCAAAGAAAGCAGTATTCACAAGCAGGTTTTATAAGGGACTTCAGAATCTGCTCTGAACTTGTTGAATAATCTGTTCAGTATTCCAGAATCTCCCTGCTGGAAGCAGGGTCCTCATTATAACCACGAGAGCACTAATAAAGGTTAGCCTCTGAACTAGGGATTAGAAGGCCCTTTCTTTGGAAGCTGCAAACTAGTAACTTTGATGATCTTCTTGAAAAGGAAGACAAAGCACACTCCAAGAACAAACAATGTTTCCACTAACTAGGAAGGTACAGAAAACATAAGAAAATGATATGCCTAAGTACTTGGAAAGGAAGTATAAATCAGCCTAATAAATTATATTGAAAAAATAAAATGCATTAAGCAGTTAAAGAAATCTCCATTAAAAAAGAAGCCTTAGCCTAAAATGTACTTCTAAAATATAATTAAATAATTGATTTAAAAAAAAGAGGGACTTTTCAACCCCAACTACAGATTTCAATGGGTGTGAATTATTTTGTTAAGTGTTTTAGGGGTATTCATAATATTCTATATAAAATAATAGCTTGTAAGGTTTCTTAACCAATGGTTTTATCTCTTTTATGTAGATTTCTCTTTTCTCCTTTTCTGAAACAAAACTTTATTCTTATAAAGAAGGCTATTACATAAATATATGCAAGAAATAGGACAATTATTTAAAGAGGTCAATAGACATGCTTCAGCTTTTGGAAAGAGCATAAACCTAGATGTTGCTACAAGCTAGCAAAGCCCATGGTATATACTAAATGAAAAAAGATGCCCATGGAATGAACTCAGATATTATTTTCTGTCCTTCCAAACCATGTGCTTCTTTTTCTTCAAACTGCTATTTAGAAATATTGCTTCAGTCAAGAAGGTTATCTTCTATTCCTTTAATATTTGTGTGCCTAACAATACAAAAACATTTCTTCATATTTGGAAGGCCTTTATTACAGGTATTCTACCTAGTTTCTCCTATTTACATGATTGTGACAAGCACTTTGCTTTTTTGTGTTTTCAGTATTTTCATTAAGTAAGCCCTCAACAATCATATTAGATAAATAGTTTGGAAATTAATCATCCCCTAAATTTATCAATTATGCATACATTAGTCAAATGAGATCACCCCATTGGGATCATTTCCACCACTGGAAAGGTAAAAAGTTATGTGAATGATTACTTTTTATCCCTTTTGTTTAATCTCAAATTATGACTATAAGGCAAATTGAAAATTAATTCAATAATTTCAATGAGTTTAGAGCTAAAACTGAAGATGTTGATAGATCATGTGAGCCCAAAAGAGTAACTTCACTGGACAGAGCTAATACTGAGCATCACAGGCAAATAGATTATATGACCAAAATTAGTAGCTATATTAATTTCATAACTATTAATTGATACCTTTTCACTCATGCTGTTCCATTTTCTTTGCATTTCTTCCTCCTTTTTTCCACTTGTTAATATATTCTTGTCCTTCACAGCTCATATCAAATGTTACCATCTCTGGTAAAATATCCTAAATTATTTAGGCAGAGTTAATTCCTCCCTCCTCTATGTTTCCTATAAGATTTTTTATAGTTTCATTTTTTCCATATTATTTGTATTAATCTGTATATTCTCCTCTCCCACTTTCATCTTCCAGTAAATCCTGAACCCTTTTGGGTTTAAGGTCATGGTGTTTTTTAGTTTGGTAAAAGTAATGCTCAGTGTCTACAGGATGAACAAATGATACTGCAGATATACTGTGGACAGTCTTTTAGATAAATTTTAGGACCATGAATACAACTATCGACAGTCATTTGGAAACTGTAACTTTCTATAGCTTAATAAAAATTTGATCAAAATATAATAAATGAGCATGTATATACTAGAATTTCAAAGCACATTTAGGAAATATGTAATTGTTTTATTTTAATTTTCCTTATAAAATTATTTTGATGACTAAAGAGGAAAATAAATATAAAAAGAAAACCATAAGATTTGGCAATGAAACACTAACCAGACAAGAAAAGGCCAGAGGTAGGTATTTTAAAAAGTCTGCAGAAAACCCTTTTGTACTTTATCCTACCCCATTGTAAATCATGCTTCTATAAGAAAAGGCATAAAATAAAATTTAAATAACAGAGCAGTAATATTAGAGATTTCTGTCTAAATAACTATTTTAAATAATAAAGGTAATTCCCTCTAAGAATTCCAGATAATGAGTTCAAATGATAAATAAGAAAATAAACTGTTCAGCCTTCAAGAGGGCCTTATAATAATACCATTTCATCAGTGATAAGAAGCTTGAACTTACTTGGATATATGATGGGAACAGTTCATGACTAGGAGTCAAAAGTCCCTCTAAAGAGAAACCACAAAGCTAATCAAACTTATCAATTAGATTTATACTGGAATATATTCTGTGAAGATCTGTACCTAGAGAATATATATATCCCTCTAGAAAAGCTACATCTTACATTAAAAGAGCTACTTTGCATATTCCATTTGAATATACTATGGAAAGCTAAAAAGATCAGGACTTTTTAATCATACATTTTCAAGACACACAGGAAATAATCAAAGGGTTTAATAATCTGCTTCCAATTCAAAATTAAAATTCATGCCAATTAAATATCCAGAACCATAATTTACATAATATTTCAATTTTCACATTTCAGAGTACATGAGACCATGAAAGAAAAGAGCAGAGCTCTGAGCAGTAACTGCCCAGAGCTCAGTTACCTATAAAGAAAATTCTATATGCTCTTTGTCAGTAGCTGTGGATTTCAGCCTCCAAAATCATAAGTTATTGCTAGCAAGACATCATTTAGAAATACAATAAGACATTCGGAAATGTCCCACCG